CTCTGTCCCCCTGTCCGTCTGTCCGCGCCCCGCTCCGGCCCCGCCGCTGGGCCCGGCCGCGCTCGCGCCCGCGGCCGCGCCCCCTGGTGGCCCCGCCCCGCCACAGGCCCCGCCCCCGCCGTCCGTCCCGCCATGGCGTCCGCGGGCGGCCCGGACGCGGAGCGGCCGCACCCCAAGCCCTTCCTCATCGGCGTCAGCGGCGGCACCGCCAGCGGCAAGGTGAGCCCGCCGCGCCGGGGCCGCGCCGGGGCCCGGCCGCGCCCCCGGCAGCCCGCGCGGCGCGGGAGCTGCGCGGCGCCTGAGGGGCAGCGCCGCTGGCGGCCCCGCTGCGGGCGGGGGTCGGGCCGGGCCGAGCCCGCGGCAGGGCTGGGGTCCCGCTGAGCCGCCGTCCCGCTCAGTCCACAGTGTGCGAGAAGATCATGGAGCTGCTGGGGCAGAACGAGGTGGAGCAGCGGCAGCGCAAGGTGCTGATCCTCAGCCAGGACAGCTTCTACAAGGTGCTGACGGCCGAGCAGCAGGCCAAGGCGCTGAAGGGGCAGTACAACTTCGACCACCCGGGTGAGCCCGCACCGGCCCGGCCCTGCAGGCTTCGGTCGGTGCTCGGAGCGCAGCGCGGTCGCACGGGAAGCGCCTGTAGGAAACTGGAAGTGTTGGAGAACAGAAATGTGCTTTCCTCCACCAAAACATCCTTTTGTTCTTCCCTTGTGCCCGTTGTTACTGACGGGTTCTGGAGCTGTGGAGAGACGCAGAGCATCCCAGCCTGCTCACTGCTCCACTCCCTGCTTTGAGAGTCTCCTTAATGAACCCCATCATTCCCCAAATCCTTTCCTGTTACTTCTTGTCCGGACCAACAGCTGCTCCCCTTGCCCAGGGGAGTGCTGTGGATTGTAGGCGGGACAGGGAGCTGCCCTTGGCTCAAGTCTGGTGCCTGTTGGGTGGGTAGTGGAAACCGTGAAAGATGCCTGGGGTTTTCCAATTGACTCTTGACTAACAGATGAACAAAGCTGCACAAAATTACCCAATTACTAAGTGGGTTGATAAAATTATAAAATTACTAGCTTCACCTTTGACAGCTTCACCTCTTAATTTCATTGTGTTGTAGTTGCTTGTAAACAGCAAACTGTCTCTTCCTTATCTCTGAAACCAAACACAGCGATTGTCACTTGGGCAGTGAGTGCTGAGTTGCTAGTGGTAGGAAAGAATAAGATGCAAGTTCCTTTTTTCCTGGTGAAACATTGGGCAGAGGGTTTTTGCTTTGGGTCTGGAAAAATCTGACCAGATCTTTGATACAGCAGCATCTGAAAGTCCTTCTCTTTAAACTCTCCTCTCGCAGATGCCTTTGATAACGATTTGATGCATTCAACCCTGAAAAACATTGTTGATGGCAAAACGGTTGAGGTACCAACATATGACTTTGTGACACATTCTAGGTAGGCTCTGCCTTTGCCTGCAGTCCTGGCTTGTGTGGGGGTGTCCCCAGCCTGGGGACAGATCCCTTGGTGGTGGCACGAGGCTGGTTAACGGGCTCTGGGTGTTCTCTCCTGGCAGGCTGGCAGAGACGACGGTGGTGTACCCCGCTGACGTCGTCCTCTTTGAGGGGATCCTGGTTTTCTACAACCAAGACATTCGGGACATGTTCCACCTCCGTCTCTTTGTGGACACGGACTCTGACGTCCGGCTGTCCCGCAGAGGTAAAGCCCGGCCGTGCCCCTGCTCCTTATCCGTCCCCACCATGGGACAACACTCAGGGCTTTTATCTCCCCTTCCCAGTTCTGCGAGATATGAAACGTGGGAGGGACCTGGAGCAGATCCTCACCCAGTACACCACGTTTGTCAAGCCTGCCTTTGAGGAGTTCTGCTTACCGGTATGAAACCTCTCACTGATTTCATTTGTGGGGTCTTGTTTTTTTTGGGCAGGGGTAGAGGAGCAGGGTTGTTTGGGAATTAGCTGCTATAGCGGCAGCAGTGGTGACTTTTGGTATTTCACAAATCTCACATTCTCCTCTCTGCCTCATGTATTCAACCATTTCAAGCTGGTTGTTAAGAAACCAAAATGCTTCTGCTGGCGAAGCACCATGAAAATGCCTCAAGCACATTTTCTCACTGCTGGCTGCTGGGGCTATTTACGTATGGGTCTCTCTGAATGAAACTCCCACTCTCAGTTTATTCTTAAGTCTTGTAGGAAGAAAGAAAAGCTTGGTTTCCAGCAGCCTTTCTCAGAGGGAACACTGGTGAAAACCTGGGGCAGACTGTTCTAGTTCTGCTTGCTACACCATGTAGTGTGTGGCCAATTTAGGTACTCACATAATCAAATTCATTTGTCAAAAACCCTATGAGAACAAAATGCAGTATGTGGATTAAATAAATTGAAAAAGGCTAACTCAGGCACCTATTGCTCTAGATTAAAGCAATTCTGAGATTCTAAAACTACTCATTAGAAATGCTGAATTTGCCAGCTTTTTTCCAGCTGTGGGGGGAATGAAAAAGCAGGAGTGCTGTGATGGTAAAGATCAATAAAATGTTATCAGAGGCGGGCAGGAATTTCACATGCACTTTGTATACGTTGGCTCTCAGCAGAGATTTAGCAATGGCTTGCGAAATGCTGATTAAAACCAGCTCTTGGCAAACAGACCTTGCCTGAAATCGGCAACGTTTGAAGGCAGCTCAGACGGTTAAAAGCAAAGGACTCCACCCTGACCTGCTGTTTCTACCTGGTGATTCTCTGCAAAGGGACAGTCAAATAATCCCTGATCTTAAATCCAGTGCACACTTGCCAGTGTGATATTGGAATTTATTTAGGTTGTTACCATGAGAGCTTAACGTACCACCCTGGAGCACTAGGACCTTCCATCTTTGCCCAGTTTTCTGGCCTTTGGTTGCTTCCTCCTGGAATGAAGTTGACTTTTCCCATTAACAGCCTCCTCCACCACTGTTTCTGTTTTGCAGACAAAGAAGTATGCAGATGTGATCATCCCCCGAGGAGTTGACAACATGGGTAAAAGGGAGTTGGGTTCCCTGGTTTGCCTGGGGAGACACCTTTGGGGTTGGGAATAGAGCAGGAGGCACCCTGCTGCCTTGAGTGCCTGCTCCTGAGGAAGGGGTTTTTGCTGGAGGGGAGGGAGCTGCTCAGCCTGATCAGAAGGACCAGGGGCTCAGCATGTGGAGGGCTGGAAAAGTGACCTGTTGGGCTCTGACCTCACTGCAGACAGCAGGCTTGTTAAAACCTGAGTTGAGCAGGGCTGGATGCTCCACATTTTCTAGATAACTGAGACAGGAGAACCTTTATGTCCTCTATTCCCCGTTCCTCTCTGCAGTTGCCATAAACCTCATCGTGCAGCACATTCAGGACATCCTGAACGGGGACATCTGCAAGTGGCAGCGGGGAGCGTTGAACGGGCACGGCCGGACGTACAAGCGGCCGTTCCCCGAGCAGGCGGAGAGCGGCGCTGTCCTGGCGGCCGGGAAGCGCTCCCACCTCGAGTCCAGCAGCCGCCCGCACTAGCTCGGCTCGGCCCCAGGGTTTGCCTCTGGTCCACACCAACACTGAAGACAACTTTGGGAAAGGACTTCCACGGAATGGTTGGTGAAGTGCCCCTTAAGTCGTCCTAGCAGCGGAGGGGATCCTGGTGGGAATCTTCTCACAGAGGAGAGAGGAAGGGGTTGGCTTTCCATCCCTCTTCCCTCCAAACCCCTCCCTGTTCTCCCCGAGATGTCTGGAGTTGTTACTTGGTGAACTGGTTAAAGGCAGCGTTATTTGCCTTTTTTTAGTTTTCAGAATGAGATCTAATGCTGAAGATTCCCGTGAAGATTAAGCACTATCAGGTGACTAGCAAGATACCCCATTTCCCTGATGATGGTTGTCTGTAGCAGGAAAATCATCTGCCTCTTGGGTGTTTTTCTCTCTACCCAAGACTAGCTGACATGCTGTTAATTTTAACAGGCTCTTACTCTTTTCCACCTTGTTGGCAACTTGAGTTGTGGCCATGCTCTGCTGCTGGCCAGCCTCCTTCTAGCCTGTGGGGTCAGAGGTACTGAGCTGCAGAGGCACCTCTGCCTTGAGATAGGGGTGACACAGAGACTGACTGGGACAAATGGGAACTTGCAGTTCACCAGGAGACAGGCCCAAGTTTGGTGGTTCTAGTGATTCCTAATTTATTCCTTTCCAAGCTCCTGACTCTTGCTACACTGTTTGGTTATTTTTTGTACCCAGTTACTGAATGTGTGAGCTCCAACTGGATTGAGTTGCTCATGGAAACAGAAACCTGACCTTGTCAATATTAGTGTCTTTTAGTGCATTTCTGTACTGCTGGTTGCAAATTCTGCTGGGCAGAATCCGTCCACTTCCAGAGATGGCTGGTGAGGTCAGCAAGGGGGGAAGCTGGGAATTGCAGGACCCTCCTCCTGCTGCCACAAGCAGCTGCCTGGACACCCTAAGACAGGGTCAGAGCACTTGCCTTGCACTCCAGCAGCTTCAACTCAAGAATGTCTGGCTTTCTAAAAAGAGCAGACAAGAAGTACAAACAGTGATATCCCAGTTTCTGTAGTTTACCCCAGATAAGTGATACTGCAGCAGCATGAATTGTCTGTTTGGAAAAAACTGCAATGAAGTGCTGGTTGGACCTTTGAAAATGTCCTTGTGATACTGTTCTTGAGTCTGGACTTAAGGTGTAATTTTGAGAATGAGGGTGGGAGGGAAATGTTACTAAGAGGAACTTTTTCGTATTTGCTAATTTTCTAAAAGCAGGGTTTGGCTGTGTTGGTTGTGGGTGTGTTACTTTGGCTAATAAATAAATGAACAGTGATCAGAAATAATTTTTATAAAAGGTAATGGTGGTGCATTCACTATGCCAGCAAAAAGGTACACAGGGAACACTGCTGGAGGGGCTCTTACACTCAACAGTTCTTTCTTCCCTTAACTCAGAATTGTCATCTTTGGTTCTGTCATGGCTGAAAATTTACAGAAAAAACCCCAAAGTTAAGAAATGCAGTCTGCACTTTGATCCTTATAGTCTTCTCAGCCCTGGGAAGGGGTGAAGGTTTGGTGTCTCAGTGACAGTTCACTGGTACTTTGGCAGTGCCCAGGAGAAGGCAGAGCATTTCCTGACTGCTGCTGGCTGCTGTCTAGCTCAGGGTGACAGACTTAGAGTATGAGCTACTGCACTGAAGCATTAGCTCTCAGGGCTGATTCCAGTAGGAGCAAAATAGTCACTAAAACCTACTTTGAATGACTGTGGTGTTGGATCATACCTTCCTCAGGGGGAATTATTTAGAGCAGTGAGGAAGTGCACAGCCCCTGGGGTGTGGGAATGCTGCTCTGGCAGCTTTGTGCTGCCCTGCAGGACCTGCTGCTGCAGCCACGTGGAGATAGATACAGCAATGGAATGTGGCCCAGGTACTACAGCCCTGCTCACACACCGGCACAGAGCCATTACAAATTCCCCCCCGAATTCCCAGTGCTTCAGCTTTGCCTTCTTCTCTGTGAATTCTCTGCTGGTGCAGGCCAGGCCATGGGCTGGGTTTCAGTGTTTCCACCCTGAACCCATGTGCACAAGCTGGAGCAGGTTTCCTTGTCAGCAGGATCAGTCCTACCTTGCCCAGAGCTCTTTTCCCATGGGATCTGAGGTGCAATGGCAATACTGCCACTGCTGGTAACAGGCCTCAGGCTTCACATCGGTGCCACATGACCAAAGGATTATTCTGGCTTTGGCTCAATTCCTGGTTTGCCTGAAGCCTTCTTTAGCTGTAACAGCAATTTTTAATATCTTTTTATTTTGCTTATCTTCTTAAAAGTGATGCTTGTGTCAGATGATTATAAATAGATAATAGTAACAAGTCATTATTCTATGCAGAATGAACTATTTATAAATGTAGCTTAATGCTGTATTTACATAAATAGAAATGACAGCAGAGCATTGGAAGTTGGGGGCAAATAATGCATTGTTGAGGAATAGAGTCATGGAATGATGCTGTAAGGCTGCAGGGCCAGTTACTGATTGTTACAGATATGCAGGCTTTAGAGGGAAAACCTGGGGTTTCAGGCATAACAAAGAAAACAGAAAAAAAGTATCCGATGTGTTGGAAAGGGTCCATTAATAGCAAGCATGTTATGGGATTGCAGAGCTCAGTGGTAGGAAACACATGAGATAGCCCTAAGTGCAACGTAGTGCCAGAAGGAAGAAGCACCACTGTACTCCCAGAAAAGAAGAAATTGCTGCAGCTCTTCCCAGCAAAGGTGCTGGGATGCTGTTGACTAAAGTCAGCAACCTTCACACCCTGAGGGGCAGTGAAGGGTGAATGTAACAGGCAGAAACTGGGAACTGTGCTCAGAACAGCTCTATTTCTGTTGAGACCTCTTCTGTAATAGTGTTCCTTTATTTTCTTCTCCTGTAATCATTAGATCTGGACTACTACAAAATACCTGAAGCGACTGTTAAATTTCCGTGCTACTAACAATAAATTCTTGGCTTTGCACAAGAGGCGTTTCCCTTTGCTGTGCCAGGCTGGAGTGTCACTGCTTTCGGATCAGGATGTTCCAGGTGTCCTTCCAGCGCAGGGCCTTGAGCTCCGGCAGGGACAGCGCAGGCTGCCCGTAGGTCACGGGGCTGAAGGTGCAGTGCACGAAGTACACCGAGGAGAACCAGGCTACCATCAGGGCACTGAACATGCTCTTGAGCAGCACAGATCTGGCATCAGAGAGGGAAAGAGTACTCAAGTTACATCAAGACTGGCCAAACATTTCATCCAAAACACCTGTGCCTGCCCTGGTTACCCTAAAAGCAATGACAGTTTGGCCACTGCTGAAAAAGCCACTGCTTTCCCCAGGTGACAGAAGCTGGAGAAAGAACTCCAGTCCTCCTTTCAGGAGAATATTCTGCTGAAGCCAAATACCTGCAGAGATGATCACTGAGATGTTGCAGTACCACAGGAATCAGGAGAATCTGGAATGTGACAGCAGGCAGGTAGTGGTACAGGAAAAGTGTCTTCTCCATCAGGAAGAAGGGCAGGTAATTCACAGCCCAGCCTCCACCACAAATGCCTCCTGCTGACATCCAGATCTTCCAGGCATCTGCAGGAGACAGGAGATGGCATCTGAGAGCAGAGCAAGGCACAGGCCTCCACCTGGGTACACACAGAGTGCAGTCAGACCTTCAGGGATGTCGTAGATCTTCCTCCTTCGCCGTAGCAAGTACCACAGGGACAGGCACAGGTAGACCAGAGCAGCAGCGTTAGCTGAAGCCCAGGTGGCAACATTCCCAAGGAGGTGGATCTGGGCCTGCAGAGTAGATGATGGTCTAAGCCAGAATCAGGACCATGATGTGGTTCTTTTAGGTAAGTTTAAATATTACCTACACAAACTTGCTAAATTAAGCTCCAGAATGGGCCTGCCTAGTAACCTGGAACAAAGCTGGTTGATAAATTTTGCTGTTTTAAGACTCTTGTGTAATGGAAAGCATTTAAAGGATGCTATAGGAAAAGTTCTTGGCTTGAAGCTGCAGCCTTGCTCTGACTTCTACTCCTGGGGCTCCCATCTGAGCTGTTCTGCTTTCTCAACAGCTTCACAGCTATTTCTACCTCTTGTACTTACCCCTGAGGTGGGGTGGAGCCAGTAGGCAATATTGGTGTCCATTGTGATCCAGTCCAGGGCAGAGGAGCTGTACTTATGTTCTGTGTCTTCATTTTTTAATGTGAGTATTTTCCACTAGGAAAAAAAAGAGGTAAGCAGAAGGCTTTTAGAATTGGAACAACAGGTAGGACAGCAGGCATGGGTGAACAGCTCCAGATGTAAGATGTTAAGTTCCTAAGCTGGGAGCAGAGAAATCTTTTACATATCTCATATGGATACTGATCAATACAATTGTTTTATTTTGTTATTAAATAATGCACTTTCCTTAATGGATTTCTACAAAGATAGTAAGGGGCATCAACACTACTCACTGCATGTACCACACATTATAGTTAAGTTTCAGGCAGCTTCTGGGTGCCCAACCAACTTTCCACCCCCTTTTTTGTTACACAATCGCTTGGGTATTCATTACTGGACAGCCTAGGTCTTTAATGCCCTTATAAGTGCATTCAGAAACATTTTTCTACAGTGAGGAAGCCAAACTATCAGCAAGGATTAAACAATGATTTCTCAGACTGCAGAAATGCTCAGGCTCCTGCTCTGTAGCAGAAGGAAAAATGAAGGGAGTAACAAAACACTCACCTGCAATTCTGTGAACTTTGCCATGAAGCTGAGGTTTTTACTGATGTCCATCTGTGTGGGAGAGTGGAGTTCCACTTCCCTCTCTTTTTGCTCCTGGCCTGGAAGGAAAGAGCTCAGAAATAACCACAGGCAGAAAAGCTAGAAAGGGGAGAGAGCACACAGGCTCCTCACTCTCCCAGGAACCCTTCTCCAATACATCAACTGCAACAGCACTCGGGGGGGACTTTGTAAGGATTCTGACACCAAGGCAGAGCCAACTGAACACACACAGTACCACCTTCTCATCACCATGAAGTGAAACCTGCTTCAGGAACGTGGCTGAGACATACTTTTCCCATATCTGTGCTCTTCCACATTCCACACCATGCTCTGGTGGTAGCCTTTGGACAGCTTCTCTCCAACCACCTCCAGCTGCCGGTATCCCCACTCAGGCAGAGATGCTCCACTGAGCTGAAAGAGAAAGACAACAGTGAACTTTTAAACTGAAAGTTCTACCAATCTCAACTTCAGGATGGAAGAAGTTCCCAGGCTCTGCCTGGGCACTGGATGACAGCAAGGGGCTGCCAGAAAATGCATGCAGAGTCACCACAGGAAATAATGTCTCAATAAAAGCTAAAGCTATAAAATCAGTGATTCTGGCAAACTTTGTGAAGAAAAAGATCCTTTAATTATTCCAGCTGTTCTCACGGGCACATAGACTCAACATCAGTTTGTAAGCCCCAGTTGTGTAGAGTGGTCACAACCTCTTGACAAGCAGGACAGTTTTGATACTGAGAGGGATGAAGTACCAGTGTGACAACCTAAAACACATGCTGCTCTTTGTCACACTGAGCAAGTTTATTGTTTCCTTTAATTTACTTACTTGGTTGTTCATTATAGTGGTGTAGCTATTTTGGAGCAGAGTTTTTGAAATTTTAAGAACTGCATGAAGCAAAAGCTACAGGCAAATAAACATAACCCCACTTGCCTTTAGCACTGCAGAGGTGTTCACGTGAACAAACCTCACTTCTGACAGAATTGTCTTCCACACGTCCGTGTCAGACTCGCGATTTACAATTTCCTACAACACAAAGATGATTTTGATCCATGTTGTCTCAGCTGTTTCTGCTGGAGAATGATCAGGTCCTCCCCTCCCTCTGACCACTCACCACTCTCCAGAGGTTCTGTGCTGGCATGGAGATGTTATAATCAATATAGCAGGAAACTTCTTGGGAGTGGGGGCTAAGAGGAGCAGCAACATCATGCCTAGAAGACGAATAAAGGAAGATCCTCTACCACCATTCCCCAAATACATATTAAAAGCAAACCCATATGGAATTGGCTTAGACTGGATTCAGTAATAAAGCAAAAAGGAACTCACTTATCAAGATTGCACTGTTTACTCTGAGAGAAAGCATTCCCCACAACCAAGAGCTGCCAGGAACAGGCTCAGAGGAAGCCAATGCAGATGCCTGTGATGCCAGGCTGAAGAACAAGCACTGATTGTGACAAACAGAGACGCTGTTCACTGGAGTTTCCAATAATGAACAAATTAGATTTGGAAGGGACATAGCAAAAACCCAAGCTCAGAACAACCTCCTTCCTAATCTGAGTGATATTCAAGTATACACAGATGGCCTTTGGGAAGCAGTCAGGAGGCAACTTCATACTGCAGGCTTTCAAAAGAGGCAAGAATCTCTGGCAATAAGCCACAGCACACCGGATTCTCCAGCACATTTTCCAAACTTCCAGAGCACATTATTCAGGTAGGAGCATGCCACCAAAGTCAGTGGAGCTGGATTTGGGTTGAGTCACACAAAATACTGAATACCTGCACCTGGCCAGAGTGGGGGCAATGAAGGGGCAAGGATGAAGACTCACAGAGAGGACTCTGTATTTAGGAATCTGCAGAACTACCATGAAATGTGAACAATTCGTTGTTCACATTTCAAATGTGAAATCCTCTAAAAGCCACTAAGTAGGGAAGAACAGATGCAGTAAGCAACCATTAAGAAGTTTGTGATTAGGATCAAATCCCACTGCCAAGTCAATCAGAAAAAATAAATAAGCATACAGGATCCTTCCTCTGGGCCACAGGGATGGCATATGGAACTAACCACATGAGGTCCCTCCAAGGCTCACTGGTGTAAAAATCCACAAATAGCAAGCAGTTTATGGCATATCTGAATGCAAGGTCACTAAGTGGTTATTCTGAGAGCCAACCCAGCAGAATGAGCCAGCAGGCTTGGCAGAGCAGAGCACGAGGAAGGGACTTACGTGTTGAGGTAGCGAGTTGTGATGCCATGGACCAGCTGCACAATGTGGCCGTGCCTGACAGGCCGTGGGGGGTTACTCACCACCAGCTGCTGCCTGGTGAAGGGACACCCAAGAGCAAATGGTTAAATTGGAAATGGTTAAATTATATGCATCTTTATACAGACCACAACCTTGTCATGACCAAGCTGTTAGGTCAAGACACTGCAGGCAGGGACAGACATTTAGGCAAGAAAATGAGAAATTAAAGCAATATATAGGTTGTACCAGAATGGAAGCAAAGCTCATCGAAGCAAAGGTGACTTAAGGGCAGAATGAGTCAGAGGATCAGTAATGGGATACTGACACTCCAGGCATTAGGTCAGTGGTCTGAATCCAGGTCAGTCAGGAGGTGAATTAAGGTTATTACTGTCACACAGCTGTTTGGTGGCTTGTGTGACACGCTGAGTGCCTCACTGAATCTGATGGGTGCTGCACTACAGCTGCTGTCACTTTGGCACAATTATAGGACAGATCAATGGCTTTTGCACCACATAGAGTAAACTCTCATGTGGCTTCTGGACAGGGCCATGGCAAGGGGAAACTGCAATGCACTAAAATGCTGTCTGTACTTTACTGTTCCATAGAAGGACTTCACATCCTCTGATGCTCACAGGAGTCTTTTGAGTTTGAAGGATTTTAAGAATATATTTGGGGCCTGTGGTCCTGTTAGACTCTTTGCTTGAAAAGTCTGCACCATGGAAAAATTTTCCCAATGTGGATATGACTTGTAATGGCACACAGTCCTTCTGATAGGACTTGTTATACAGTTCCCAGAACAATGTGAGAAACTCAGAAAAGCAACTTTTTGATCAGTATGGAATTATGTCACTCAAAGGCTTTTACTGTCAAAACAAGGACAGATAGTCCTGCCCTGCACTGGCAGTGACAATGGCAAAATGGTTCAGCACAAACCAGGCCTCAGGTACAGGCACCACTTGGAATCCTTCCCTATGTGGCAGATCCTACAGCTCGTTCCACACTTCTAATACAAAGAACTACTCATTTTTCAAAAGTGTTTTCTACTCTTTTCTGAGACTTATTCAAGTTTGATAAAATTAATCAAGACACTCTAACACCATGGCTCACACTTCAAAAAGCAGAGCCTCCCTTTCATGCAAAACACCTGAAGAATCTCTGCTGTGAGTCTTGTGAGTCTTTCATGTTCCACTTGTGCACAGCACAGCCAACAGGCTCTGGCAGGAGCAGTTCAGACAGGATTTTAGAGTCCTCAGTAATGTTTTTACCACATTGAGAAGGATTGTGCAAAGAGCTGCAATCACTTGCTCAGATCACACCAGGCTTCTGCATCCATAAGCAGAGAAGAGTTATGTCCAATGTAGTCTAAGCCCTGGTTGGGTTTTGGAAGCATATAGGTTGAATTTAAATCTCTTGCATACTCACATTCCAGGATCTTTGACAATCCACCAGTTGTTCACATCCTTGAAGGGATAGCAGGTCACTTGCTGCTGATGGGAACTGCCTCGGCCATTCTCATACCTGCACAGGAAGTAACAAAAGCCCACAGAGGTGTAAAGGCATCTGTGATCTCTGTGCTCACCAGTCCCAGCAGCACAAACCAGCACCACATCACTGATCATTCCTACAGAGCACAGGGACTCTGGAGGATTAATGAAGACATCGCCAGGACCCAAACTGTTACACTTGGACTGGCAGGTGAAGAAGCAGAGCTTCTCCGCACAGAGAGGCAGGCAGATTCCTCACCTGATGGGGTAAGTGTTGGTGTGAGAGTGGAGCCAGCACTGCATGGGCTTGCCCAGCACGTTCCGCAGGGTGATCTGAGAGCCGTAGGCCACCTCTAAGGGCTGACCCTGAGTGATTCGGGCCAGCCCACCCTGAGAAGGGTAAGCACAGGGTAAGGACAAAGAAGAAACAGAAACAACCCAGAGGCTGTTTAAAGTCTATGGAGTCACATCCCACTTCAACACAGCAGTATCTTCACACAGCACCTTCTCATTTGGTTTCACCTATCAAAATCAAGCCTTGCAGCACCATACTCAGTAGATAGGATAGTAAATACACCAACACCCACAAAACTAAAAGACTACAGGGTCTCAGGAAATATCCCTAAAGCCATGTTCTAAAAGACAGGCTAAGCACTCCTATAGCATACCATGTCACCACATGAGTTCAGTACTGTATCTACTTCTGTGGAGTTCCTATAGGAAGAGACAAACCTTCAGCAGAAGAGTGAATATATTGTTCTTGCTTCATTGGGAAAAGGTTTTCATCTGTTATTAGAATTTCAGTCATTATTGCTTCACCTTAAAGCAGTACTACAGCAGCAAAATAGTTAAACATAAAAGGGACAAAACATGCAGGACCAAAGGAACAGGATTGAACACCACCTGATAGTGAACATTCTCCTCTCTTCTCTCTAATAAATCAATTCCAAGATCACACTTCCCTCACCTCTAAGCTGGCTTGGAAAGCACTTGTCATGATCTGGTCGTGAGGCCCAGAGCGATACAGCAAAGCCAAGTGAACATAGAAGAAGGACAGGTACAGCCCCATGGGGATGATGACAAGGGCCAGACCCCGGGCTAGAAAATGGCACAGCAAGGAAACCTGGAAGAACAGAGAAAACTCACTTGTTTCATGGTCTAGATATTAAAAATTTCACAGCACTGTACTTGTTTTGTTTGTCTTTTCTAAGTTTTCCCCACTGTTTTCATTCAGCTGTAATTTTGTGGACAGCTGGCTAACTTCCAGCAAGGATTTGAAGTGGAGCTGGCAGGAGTGTGTGAGGCAAGTGCATGTTCTGAGTCACACGTCACCAAGACATGGATAACAGCAGAAAAGACAGTCACACACACGTATTTTTCTTTAACTTAATTCCATCTTCCCCAACAACTGAGCTGAGAACTGTACTATGATAGGAGGGTTTCCAGACAAGGAATTTTTGTACAAAAGCCAGCTACAGACTGCACTGTTATCTGTTGGCTTGAAAGGCTCCTGCAATGAAAAGTGACAAATAGTATATTTTGCATGCTGTGCTACGTACATTTGACAAGTTCTGGTCTCCTATCATGTGCCAGAAGTGGAGTCCTGCAGTGGCCAAGAGCAGCATATAGGTAAACAGGCCCATATATTTCACACTGTGAGGAAAGTGTATAAAAAATGAACGTGGTTAAAAACTACACAACATTACCTAACACAAGATATAAATATTCTAACATTCTCTTGAACAGTAGGCATTAAAATCCAGGTAAGACATCATCACTTACCCAACTGCGCAAGAACAGGCTACTCCAGTCAGCAGGAGCCAAAACCACCAGCTTCCAGAGAAGGCACTTAAAGATAAATGTATTAAATCACTTGCTAGGCTCAATTTAAAGATAATTTTACTTTATTAATTATTACTTCATCCTCTGCAAGGATCAGGGGAAAAAAGAGACAAATATCTCTAAATTCAGTGCCTGTAAACAGTTACAAAGGACCACTAAGTGACCTGTTATCATCAGTGTTTCTGTATACAGAAGGAAACGTTCCAGTAAAAAAATCTGGGTGGGTACAGAAATGTTCCCAAGGGATTTTATTTCTATTTTAAAAATTAAAAAACAGCCCTGCTAACAGTAAAAACAGTCTTTAACACTGCTCAGTAGAAAAATTCTGGGGCAGGCATATGGGAGGTTGAACCATTGGATTTTACACAGAGGTGAAGTGAGTTATAGAATGATTAAGAGGCATAGAAAAACACAGTCTATGACAAAAAAAAAAAAAGTCACCATGAGAGTATCCAAAAGGGTGGGAGACAATCCAGCTTTACCTGTGCTTTTGCAAATTGTAGAACTTCAGGTAGGACAAAACTGCAAGCAGGATAAAAAAAATCAGTATTGACTCCAGAAGCATGAACCTCGATTGAGTGATGAGAGAGTTTTCTGTTGGAAAAGAGAGACAGACACAAAATTAGAGAAACTTGTCCATAGGCAAGAGCTACCTCAGACAATCATACTGTTATCCAACAGAAGGACCTTCCCTTTTAGGGACAGACGGTTCCTACGGGCTGTAATGGGCAAGTGCTGGGTTTAGAGGGACAAAAACCTTCCAGCAGGAGCAAATTACAATTACATGGACATAACTTTCCCAGACAAAGAGGTGGGCAAGCAGTGAAGTCTTATGAGGATGCAGATAAAGCTGCTGCATTTCCGACAAAGGCAAAGAAAATCAGTCCTGGGAAATCCAGAGAGGTGCTTCTCAAAGCAAAGAGTCCAGGCAGCAAGCACAGCAAGCAATGAGCACCACAACAGATCTGCAGGAAAGGGAGCCAGAATCAGAGAAGCTGGTAGGTAGGAGAGGTTTCCCATTCAGGCAGCTGCCAGCAGCCCCTCAGAGAAAACAAAACCAGCTGAGTTGTATACATCAGAACAGTGTCAAATCAGTGCTAAGGACACAGGCTGGTTTGCTGCAGTTTGGACAGAAGAAATTCGATGAGCTCTGACTGCAAGTTGAGTTGTCCTGCTGTTAAAAGCCAGTATGTTGTAATTCACCCTGTAAACCTCTGAGGAAGGGAGTACAGGCCTCCTTGGATACAAGAAATGTGGTTTCCTGTGAGGCTGTTAAGGCTGCCTACTTTGCTTAATATTGAAATGAACTTGTATAAAGCTCAGAAGGGCAGCCTGCTGCAGAGCTGTGAGGATGGAGGAGAACAGGGAGGCTCAGCACTGACTGACACAGGCCAGGGCTGTTGATGTTTTCTGGGAAGATGCTACTCCACCCTAAACATTCCTAAGGGTAAAAGGGACTCTTCTCCCCATGTATGAAGAATAGGGCTCAGTTGAACAATCTTACCTAAGAGAATCAGAAGAGCAGCTCCAAGTGCAGCACAGTGAGAGAAGTGCAGTTCAACCAAAATCTGGTAGGCTAAAGGCACACAGAAAGCACCAGCCAGGGCTGGCAGGAGTCGCAGGGACCACACAGGAACATTCATGCTGTATTCTGAAACAGAAAACAGGAAACACTGATCCACCAATCTGGAGACTCAACTGCAGAGAGGACAGACCAATACAGATTTGCTGATTGTTAGAGGAATCTAACTCCTACTTGCATTGATTTGTCCATATTCTATTTCTTAAACTGTTTAGCTGATTTACAAGGCCTGTGCTATGAATTCATAATGCTTTTAACTTGTGCTAGAGACCTGCAGAAGACTTATTTAAAAAGAGAAGTGAAGGTGTTGGAAAAGTGTTACTTCCACTAGACAGGCAAAAGGAATCTGTCAGTTGCTGAAATTCTGCTTATTCTCTCTGAAGAATGAGACAGTTAAAAACAACTCTTACCAGCTCCAATCCTGTTCCATAGGAAGTTTCCATCAAATCCTCCTAAGTAACCTACAACATAAACAAGAGAATTTCTAGTCTCAAAGCATGTATAAAACCTGGTGCTAAATTGGAAACCATTTCCCAAACACACAGCTTTTCCTTGCATGAAGGCCCTCTTTCCCAAAAGGGTCCTCTTTGATACTGTTCTGTCTGCAGCAACACTTGACAATGTGCAGAGGCACAAAGAATATAAATTGGGAACAAGGGATTCTCAGTGACAAAGTCAGATGTATATTTAATCCCTCCCTCCCTCCCATACAGACACTTTGATGTTGTGGTATCTCAGCTACAGAAAGGAACTGAGGCTATTTCTTGCACTAGCAGTTCTCATCTTACTTTCCTCTTTATCCAAAGGATTGGATAACAGTGAGGTGATGGATACATGGCTTCATCATCCCCTCCTTTACTCGTGAAACAGCCTCCTAACAATCCTAAATAAAGGAAAACCCAGTTCTCTCTACATCAGTCTCTCATTTGCCCTGTGCTTTCCCCCATAAGTGGATCTGATGATTCATTTCTAACCAGCACTTCTCTCTCCCACAGCAACAAGCAACAGGCACTTCCCAATCCCAGGAGACCCTACCTCCCAAGGCCAGCAGCATGTGGCCAAAGGGTGGGCCACTGTCATCCACAAAGAAGATCCTCTTCATGTAGAGTGAAACGAACTGGCCATAATAGACTTCATCAAAACTGAAACACCAGAGCCAGAAAAATGTCAAATCTAACAGCAATTTTCCTGCAGGGATACTCAGAAAGCAAACACCAACTTGTTGTGAGAAAGGTAAGAATGCAAGGGAGCACTGAGGCTTTGCCCCTTCTCCTCAGGGGGTTTTATTAGGGAAAGATTATCACTGCATTGGCATTGTTCAGCCTGGAAAAGAGAAGGCAACAGGGGTGGCCTAATTGTGGCCCCCTGGCATCTGAAGGGAGCCTTCAGGAAAAATGGGATGAGACTGTAACAGCCTGGAGTGGCAGGACAAGGGGGAATGGCTTCACACTGTCAGAGAGTGGGTTGAGATTAATTTTAGGAAATAATTCTTCCCTGTGAGGATGGTGAGGCCCTGGCACAGGTTCCGAAATAAGTTGTGGCTGCCCCTGGATCCCTGGAAGTGTCCAAGGCCAGGTTGGAGCACCTGGGATAGTGGAAGGTGTCCCTGCCCATGGCAGGAGTCAGAATAAGATGAGCTTTAAGAACCCTTCTGACCCAAACCAGTCTGGGATTTTGTGATTCTATGATTTACAGAGGCTGACATCAGTCAAACTGTGCTCTTCTGCTCTTGCATTCTTGCTCACAAACATTTGAAAAACAAGTCTGTGTCATTCAGGTAGAAAATAAACTCATTACTCACACCACAGCCCGTGGATAGCAAAGCCCCCAGAGACGACTTATTAATCCCATCACAGTCAGTGCCACAAGGCTCACATTGATCTTTGCAGTGACCACAACTGGCTCCTTCAGAAATCCCAACATCTTGTCAAAGGTTTGTCTGAACCTACGAGAGCAGAAGAGAACAGCAGTCACCCTTTGGCTCACAGAGCTGAACACTCCACAGAAAGCAACAAGCCTGATTTCTGCTACAAGCAGCTAATGGTGATTAATTTCCCAAAATTCTATTGCTTTTCATGTTTTTGTGTTTCTATTCTATCTACAGGACTAGTTATAAAAATAATGTTACTGAAGTGACACACTTTTCATCTGCCCTGCTTCTGCCTGCAGTAGTAAGCTAAAAACCTTGTTTATTCTTACACTGGTTCTGCAGAAACGCAGCACCTTAATTCTCCAACCTGTATTCTGCTTTGTGCAAAGCAAACCTCACAGCCCAAACTCTGATGCTACTGTGGACAACCCATGTGCTCAGGCACCAGATGACCTCACTAACTGAGAGTTCAGGCAGGTTTAAAAAAACCCCAAACAAGTTACTTGCAAAATAAGGTATTACTCTGGGAGTGGGAAAGGGAGGGGAATTAGGAATGGGAACTGTGAATGGGGATGGGAATGTGGGGATGGGAACTGGGATTAGGAACTGGGAATGGGGATGGGAATGAGGATGGGAATGGGGACTGGGAATGGAAAACTGGGAATGGGGATGGGAAACTGGAAATGGGAACTGGGAATGAGAATGGGAATGGGGTTAGGGATGGGATGTGGGAATGGAAAACTGGGAATGGGGATGGGAACTGGGTATGAGAATGGGAATGAGGACTGGGAATGGAAAACTGGGAATGGGGATGGGACTCTGGGAACTCTGCGTTAGAAAGCTGGTTACTGGAGCACTTGTACAGGTGCTGTTTAAGCAGAAGTGCTAAAAGCTAGGTCAGAAAATAGCAGAGAATCAGTACTGTGCCTCCTCACCTCAACACTACAGAAAGTTACCAGAACAAATCCATCTGCGTGGCTTTGATCAGGAGACAACAAAGTGAGATGTGAGCACATCACCACCATCCAGAGCCGTGCCGCTGGCCTGGTTTCTCCCTGCCTACAAAACACAAGCGCTGCGTGGAATAGAGGTTTGCAGGAGCCCGTGGCACAGCTGTGCTCCCACCTGGGCTCTGTCAGCCCCTCGCAGGCCCTGCTGATCCCTGGGCAGGGATCCTCGGGCTCCTGCCCAGGGCACGCTCAAACCTCGGCCGGGCTCCGTGCCCCCTGTGAGGGGGAGCAGGGCCAGCGTCCCCCACCCGCCCGGTTCCCCCTTTCAGCTCTCCCTCAGGGGGTCACTGATCCTCACCACCCGCACTGGATCCTCTTGGAGGGTTTTTGTGGGGCAGAGGAGCCCCAGCCTCCCTCAGCTGTACGGGGGTGAAGGGGCGAGTGGCCAGCGGCACCGCGGAGCCGGGACCGGG